CTGGTTACTTGTGTTCAAAACCGTCCACTGTGTGTTTTATATATAATATATGTATATATACCTATATATGTGCAATGCATATACCCACTCATCACACTGCCACCATAAACCCTCTTCCATTTTCATTTGATTTCGCTGTTTGTGACATGTGATGGCCAAAGCAAAGCTGTGTTGCTGGAAAACATCTGCACTTGGCAACCCAAAAAGGTGCAGTTCGGGGTGCCAAAATGCTGTTAGAGCTGTCTCCGCGAGTTTATTAAATTAAAATTCAATCAGTATAAATAAACAAACTTTATAGTGTAAGCCCTAAAACTAACAATTTCGAAAATTAAAAAGCCATTTTATTAATTGAAAATTGTGTTCTGCTAAAATTTGTCTTTAAACAAAGTTTCATAGATCGAAACATTTGATAAATATTTTTAAATATTTACACTCCAGCTTTTAAAAAAAATGCTGCTAATTATTTGTATTACAATAACAACATTTTGTTGTTCGTTCAAAAACAATCTAATTCTAAAATCCCATATTTTCCATTCCTTGCTATTGCTTATTTTAAAAGTTGTCGAAATTGTCGTAAAGCAAATTTTATTTCCTGTAATAAAACAGTAATCATTTTCAGTAGAATTAGCTTTTAGTTATGTATTTTATGTGTCCTTTATCTCACGTTGTTTTGTAATCCTTTATGTTTTTTTTGCCACTGCACCTATGTAGCTATTACGAACACCTATACCTATGCCCAGCGTTAATTTTCCATTAGTTTTCTCTTCCAATTCAAACTCAAATCTGAAATCTGAAACCGAAATCGAAATCGTGATCGAAATCGGCAAATCAGGCGCATCAAATGCCCCACAAATGGCAGAATGTCACATTCCTGTCGCCGACGTTCTGCGATCATTGTGGGTCTCTTTTGCACGGCATCACGCACAAGGGTCTCAAGTGTCGAGGTAAAGTCCCCCAAAAAGTACCCCCCTTATTTAGTGTAGTATATAGTAAAGTGTCCCAACTCATTTGCATTTTTGGTGGCGGCGCCGCAGACTTTTTAGATTGTTGCAATTTACAATTAGCAGCGCTTTGTTCCCGCTCAAGTGTGCACTTGTCTTTGTGTTTATGTTTGCAGGAGTGGACGTGTGTGTGTGGGTGTGTGTGTGAATGTTTTGCACACTTGGGCGAGTTGTTTGTTGTTGCTTTTGTCACTGTCACTGACAAGTTTCCGCCAGCTTTTCCCGCTTTTCCCCCCATTTTATTTGCCTTGCCAGTTGCCTCCTGCACTTGCTTTTCTTTTCAGTTTTCAGTTTTCGTTTTCGTTGACATTCTTAAAAACTTGTTAATTTTCAAAATTATTGCAAGTGCATGTCAAGTTTGCAAAGCCATTTAATAAATGTTTACTAATTTTAAAGGCCCAACAATATATTTACGTATTTGTAGACGTCATGTTTAGCGACTTAGCGTAGAACTTTCCCAGCAATTTGCCTTCGCCGAGGGGTATTAATATATAAAAATGTGTTTTGTGGCAAGGGTATCCTTTACCTTATTGCCAAACAAATAATTTAATTACGCGCCATTGACCGCAACAAAAACATACAAAGGACACCAGAGCCGAAGCTAATGGAAACGTGAGAGTGTCCTTTGTGTATGAGCATCCCATTGTGGTCTGTGGCTGTATTGTACTTGAAAAAAATGAGAACGAAATATTTCCCGACAATTCAAGGTTGCAATAGCAGATAAAATTACCTGGGTAAATGTGTCATAATTGGCCATTAAATGCTATTTCAATTGGAGGATAAAGTAAAATAATACTTTACAGTATGTAGGCATTTGCCAATTAAGTTTCAATCATTTTAAATATGTAGTATATAATTGCGAAAACTCTGAGTACCCTTGCAAAGAAGCTTAAACTAAGATTGCTGCCAAAGTAATACAAAATTCCCTAATCTTGTCAAAAGTTTTTTATCTTTTAGCTAATCGATACTAATTTTTCATGCCTAGCAATAAAACGATATTTTGTTTAGAAAATTTCTCATTGGTTCCCTATATATGTGAATTTTTTATCGATACTATTTCACAGAAATTGTTATTGTTACAAATAAAAGTAAATTGTAAAAAAAAAAATTAAAGACCTAGTGATAGCTCTTCCGATATTTATATGGTATATATCGAAAACATTCGAACGTTAGCGTCAAAGATCAACAATAGTAATGGATGCCATTAAGTGATATTATAATACAAATATTCTTGGTCTAAATGGTTACATTCCAGTTTTAAAAACGCAGTTAACCAGAATAATCTAATTAGCAACATTTTGTATATATAACCTTCTTAAAAACCTGTGAATTAACTAGTCAACAATGATGATAAGTTTGTATTCGGTCTTTTTTGTCGCAATTTGTTTTCGCTGAGATCTTTAGTCCCGTGCTGGGAGGGCTGCAAAAGAGAACTATTGGTGCACGTACGTAGATTACACCTTGTTGTTATATTCTACTGAAATAGTCAAATAAATATTTCAGGATGCGGAGCGGGTTGGTGTGTAACTAGGACAAATCTTTGTGGAAATACATTTGATTACTGTTCAAACCGTAATGAGAAATGTTGCCCTTTCGCCCAATACCCCGGGAATGTATAAAGCGGTTTGGTAAACTATATTTCACTAGTTGATCCACGGGACAGATTCAGAAATTCGCTACAAATAAGTTTTGAAACTCTATTCCACAAACACTAATATTTTCTCAATAAAAATGTTTGTCATCCCTTTCATCAATTCCAAGTGTTTTTCAATGTATTTAGAAACCAAATAAAAGAGAAAAACCAATTTATTCTTTTCTGGTTTATAATCAATTTGATTGCTATATTTACATTCTAAATAGCTACATTTCCATTCTTTTAAAAACCACTAAAATTTAAACCGAGACTAATAAACTTGGCATTCCTCGAAATATTTAACTATTGCAAAAAACCAATAATCAAGTAGTTCGCAAGGGTGATTAGCTTATTTTGGTTATTTTTGGTTTAAAGCGATCACTAACATATTATACTCAAAAATGCAGAATGCGAAACAGATCCTTGATGTGTAGTGCATAGTCATCCCTTTAAAAATAAAGGATATCATACGGGATAGCCTTAAACTCTTTTTGAAATGTATTTTGGAGTTCAAATGAATAAATGAATGTGATTTATGTGCTTCATATTCGACATTTTTTTTTTCATAAAAAAAAAATTTCGACAGACTATTGAGATGATACGCTTATTAAGACTAATGAATTTTGAATGGTCCTCAGCACACAGCCCTTTCGAAGAAGCGAAAAATAACTAGTCCCCAACTATGGTCGCTTGCTTCGAGGTCTTTTTGCTGGCAGTTTTCCTAGTCCTCAGCATCGGCTTCGGCTGTTCCACTAAGTTAACTAGGAGTAAAAGCTTAACACATTTAAATTTTGATAATTTTTAAAATTAAATCAATATTTCAGCATGTGGAGAGGGAAGGTGTGTATCTACCCTAAATGAATGCCCAGAAATTCCAGGAAAATGTACAAGGAAAACAGAAAAATGTTGCCGTGTAAGGAGGCATTTTGATTAGACAAGTGATTTAACACTTGACGAAATGACGAAAAATATTCGGTCCTATTAAAGTAAACCTTTTTTTTGTAAATTTGTTTCTTTTTTATCAAGAAAAGCATCTGCTGAGTATTACTATAGTACAATCAGCATTGCATTTAGTTTCTTATTTATTAAAACTGTCAGGTCAAAATGCATTATGAGTAAGCAAGTGATTAGACACTAGACGACAAATTGTCTGCCATATTCACAGATTTAATACTGATTCAATGCACATTAATATAAATATGATATAACCGGAACAATGAATTTGTATTCTTGTGTAGATTTTTTACGGTGCTTCTAGTGTTGTAGCATTTTAATACCTAATTGTTTACAATTGGAAATCCAAAATATGGCAAAGAAAAGTAGGCGTGGCCATAGTATTAAAGTGATTATAGCCTATAGATTATGGCTGTGTAGATCGAGATTAAATTTAAAACCATGCTTTAAGCCAATTTGAAACCAAGAAAATACAATTTTCACGGCATATACAGTATAAAAGGTGTCCGCACCAGCCAATCAGCTAGCAAAGATGATCGGCTACTTGAAAATCTTCCTGGTGGCAGCACTCCTGTCCTTGTTCCTTGATCCCACTTATGGACAAGCCCGTTAGTATACCTTGCACTTAAGCCAGGGTTCTAAAATTACTTACGTAGGCTAATCAATATTTTAGCATGCGGACAAGGTGGATATTGTGCCCAAATCAGCAACCCTTGCCCAATGATTGCCGGAAATTGCCCGGCTGGAGAGAAATGTTGCCGGGATAGGCGAAGGGGCCGAACTGCATAGATTCAAAACTTTACACTTTGGAAAAGGAATAGAAATGTTCATAAAATGTACAAATAAATGATACTTCTTTTCCCACCAAAAATGAAAATTGTAAAACAATAAGCGTTTTAACAGAATAACACAGCGAAAATCAGCTTAATTCGATGTTTTTAAACCCTTGCAATGGGTTTTTTTAATTTCAGTCAGAAGTTTGCAACACAGTGAAGGATACATTTTCGACCTTATAAAATATATACATTCTTGATCAGCATAACTAGGATAGTCGATCAAGCCATGCCCGTCTGTTCGTCCGTCCCTCCGTCCTTCCGTTTCTACGCAAACTAGTCTCTCAGTTTTAAAGCTATCTGCATGAAACTTTCGCAACAGTTGTCTTCCTATTCCGCAACGAGCCGGATCGGACGACTATATCATAAAGCTCCAATAGAAACAATTAAAAAAGAATAAATGAAAAACATGATAACTATGCTGTTTTTAATTTTTTTAAGTTTTTTAAAAAGAATTAATGTCTCAATATTTTAGAACTACTATTTTAATTTTATTAAAATCGGCCGATTATAATATATAGTTCCCATGGGATTAATTAAAGTATTACTCTTTTTATTTTTGCAAAAAACATTTTTGGACCATGGCTTAATAATTCAGAATAACGCTTAAAATTTTATCAAAATCAGAAAACGATATCATATAGCTACCATAGGTTCGATTGAATTATTGAGATAAAAATCATCATAGCTTCAATATTTTGAAACATATACGCGTACAAATCTTTCTTCTTAAACATGTACGCAAACAACTCAAGATATATATACATAACTTTCGATTTGAGGAGAACTTTGACATTACTGTTTGAAGTTGTTCTGACAGTATTTAGTAACACTCCATTTCTTGTGAAATTGGGCATTATACAAATGTCCATACTAAGTCAATTGCAATTATCAAGCTACAAAAAGTTTATGATTCTGAAGAAAATCACCTACAATCATTTTATTCATTACCACGGGTCAGGATGGAAACATGTTCAAAGGCTTTTCTTCTAATTACTCTACTGTCCATACTATATTGTGCAGGAGCCCCTAAACACCGTAAGTGTAAATTCGCTCAGAAATCGCGATCACTTATATAGACCTGAAAATGTTTTAGCGGATTGCGGTCCAGCTGGACGCTGCTACACTGTCAATGCGCTATTTGGAAGTTTTAAACAGACAAGATGTGTTCCTTGTAAAATGAAAACTTGATCTAATCATTTAACTAGTTTGGAATGCGATTTTTGACATTCGCTAAAATAAATACCACACAACAATTTTCATTGCTTATAATAATAATAATAAAAATGGAAAATATTTTAATTAGACCAAACCAAACATGTTCAACTAACGTTTTTTAACTGAAACAAAACAATTATGAATGGCGAACCACCTTCATTTGGTCTTCATATTTGTTTTTTAACTATAGGTTATTTTTCTGAATGTTTTCACTTACAACGTTCGTATATTTTGTTTAAAAACACATCACTGAAGGTTATACCTTTTCTATTAATTAATTTTAAAGTCTGCAACGATGGACCAAAATACGCCACATGCAAAAGAAAAGTAAAGTTGAAAACAGAAATTCAAAAAACACTATTTTATATACACCTTGTTGATATAAAGGTGTAGTATTGAACAAAAGACAGTATAATAAAACAAAATCTTGCAAGAATATTTCATGTAGGTAGCTAAAATAGTTTTTCAGAAGTTTGTCTATCCGAATTGGTTTTTATCTCTACCAAGTATTTGGTTCACACAATGTATGCAAAAATAGTTTATGCAAATAGAGGAAGTGAACACAAATACATGGGATTGAAATGATACTACACAAATTGAGGCCACATTATGAATACACACTCATATCTGTGGGTTTGTTTGTTTTTTTCCTGCAGGAAAACACATATGTGTCTTTTTTTATGCTACGGCAAAGGAAAACCCTTTTATTTGCCTTTGTGTACACATTTTTGCACATTCTGTGCTGACCAACATGCCACAGGGCCGGCCCAACAAAACGTAACTTAAATATCACGCATACGCAGCGAGAGCTGAACATTACGTATACGCAACGTTCGCTTGAATGAAATTAAGACCTTGCCAAGGGTGTCGGGGAGGAACGAGAAAGTAATTTTACACTTCACCAAAGCGGAATGTTGCCAAGGGAAAATAGCCCCGAAAGGAAAAGCCGGGGAAAGCGGATATGTGAGAGGAAACTGAGGCAATCGGCACAAACAGGATGATGCCCATTGATGCTTGATGATGGCCGATGATGAGGGCAAAGTGCTTTAATTGAAAACAAAACGTATTTCATGAAAATGAATCGCAATTTGATTTTAGCAAATAATTTCCAATTGAACGCCACTTGCCACTTGTCAGAGTCAGAGTCAAAAGTGTAGCTTCAATCGTGAAGAAGCAACAGTTTGTCAATTTCCGCTGGCAGTAAAATGGTCTGATGGGTGATAAATTGGTTTGGGTTTTATTTACTGATTGGTTTTGCTAGGACCCAGGGCAGATATACCTGCTGCATTCTCATGGCAAAACCTTAGACACACGGTAAGTACTTCACTCTTGTTCTGTGTCCGAGACTGTACCTCTCTGTGTGTGTGTGTGTGTGTGTGTGTGTGTGTGTGTGTGTGCTATGTTTCACTTCAACAACCAACTCATGCCTATCAATCCCACTAACCAGAACTCTATTAGTCAACCCTTACCTTTTCGCTTTCAGACTATTTAAAAGTGGAAATTAATTCTTATACTTTTTAAACATTTTTCAAAAAGCATGTGACATGAACGTACATGCACGCTGCAAGGAGAATGTGCCCAGTTTGTGCGGATGCGATCACACGGAGCGACGGGGTCGGATTTATCTGGAGATCAACGTCAAGGAGAATCTGCTAACTGTCCAGAGTAAGTGGCTAGCAAGCCAAGCCGGAATACAAATTTAAGCCGCTTAAGCATTGTTACAAATTATGACCCAGCGTTCTAAGTTTTTTATTTTGTTTCTGTGCGCAAGCCGCCTTTGGGGGCCGAAAGTGGGCGAAAAGTTTACGGAATATATATGATAAAAAAAAAGGCAAGTGGGAAAGATATTATGCCCCGGGAAGCCGCAAAGTTTCCCAAGCAACGCGCTTAAAATGTTACACAGTCTTTGCGTCTTTGTATTTCTTTGCTGCCCTGCTCTGCTCTGCTATGCTCTGCGTTCCGATTCGTTTCGTTTCCTGTTGGAAACAAAAGTTGCAAGTCCTTTGGGCTCCTGGGAAAATTGCTTACGATTTGCATTAATTCATTATGCGCGCTTAAGGAAATTCTCTGTATATTCGTTCTCCTTCGTTAGCCGCAAGTGCCACATAATGAATGCCAAACTAGAATGCAGTTTGCTGAACAAAGGAGCGCAACTGGATGGATGGATGGTTGGGTGTCCTCCAGGACACAATGCTTTGTTCATGCCCAGGAGCATATTTCACGTAATTTCCGTAGCTGCTTTGTGGCCGTGTTGGGTTTTAATTGACTGCTTATGCCACCACAGCTGTTTAGTACCACCCACATTTCATTGTCCTGTCTTTTAAGTCAAGGAGGGTCGCAATCTCATACCCATGGACCCAAACGGACTCAGCGATCCTTATGTGAAGGTAAAGCTAATTCCGGACGACAAGGATCAGTCCAAGAAGAAGACTCGCACCATCAAAGCTTGCCTGAATCCGGTCTGGAATGAGACACTCAGCTAGTAAGTATTTTGTTTAAGATTTTATGGCAACCTATATTAATTGAAAGGGTTTATTTTTATAAAAATACTCTTAAATTACACTAGGAAACAATCATATACATATACCATACTATTATGTTATAGGACGCTTTAGTTTAGATTTAGTAGTCTTTAAAATTTGTTTTACGATATTTTAGCGATCTGAAACCTGAGGACAAAGATCGACGCATCCTGATCGAGGTGTGGGACTGGGATCGCACCTCACGCAATGACTTTATGGGTGCTCTGTCCTTTGGCATTTCGGAGATCATCAAGAACCCCACCAATGGATGGTTTAAGCTGCTCACCCAGGACGAGGGCGAATACTACAATGTGCCATGTGCGGATGACGAACAGGATCTACTCAAACTCAAGCAGAAGCCGTCGCAGAAAAAACCGATGGTGATGCGCAGCGACACGAACACGCATACGTCATCCAAAAAGGACATGATCCGGGCCACGGACTTTAATTTTATCAAAGTTCTGGGCAAAGGATCGTTTGGCAAGGTGGGTACAAAAAGCTACAATTAAGTAAATTAAAAGAATATAATATATTTGGGAAGTTTATGTCATGACGTCACATTTTTAACAAAAGGAGTTGTTATATTTGAGAGAGCGGAAGAGAGCAATAGAACTGCACTCATGATTCATACTTTCATACAAAAAACATTAAATTAAACAATACTTTCAGGTCTTGTTAGCCGAACGCAAGGGCAGCGAGGAGTTGTATGCCATTAAGATACTCAAGAAGGATGTGATCATCCAGGACGACGACGTCGAGTGCACCATGATCGAGAAACGTGTCCTGGCGCTGGGTGAAAAGCCGCCCTTCCTGGTCCAATTGCACTCCTGCTTTCAGACAATGGTGAGTCCAGGCCGATATCGATAAAAACAGCAGATGCAGAATGCCCCCCTTTCCAGGACCGTTTATTCTTTGTGATGGAGTATGTGAACGGAGGCGATTTGATGTTCCAAATCCAACAGTTTGGCAAGTTCAAGGAGCCGGTGGCTGTGTAAGAGACCCAAACAGTTTGTCCACGTTTCCTTTGGTTATTTTTGTTTATCCGCCTTTCAATAGATTCTATGCCGCTGAAATAGCTGCCGGACTTTTCTTCCTACACACCAAGGGCATACTGTATCGGGACCTAAAGCTGGATAATGTTCTCTTGGATGCCGATGGGCATGTCAAGATTGCGGACTTTGGCATGTGCAAGGAGAACATAATGGGTGACAAGACCACAAAGACTTTTTGCGGTACCCCTGATTACATAGCTCCCGAGGTGGGTTTTAATTCACTGGTAAAAAAAATTCAAAAGTGCAAATATATATCTGACTACATTTTTCCTTCTTAGGAAGTGATTTAATAAGAAAGTAATATGTGTTATTTCTTCAGATCATTCTTTATCAACCCTATGGCAAATCGGTGGACTGGTGGGCCTATGGAGTCCTGCTCTACGAAATGTTAGTGGGTCAGCCACCCTTTGATGGCGAGGATGAGGAGGAGCTGTTTGCCGCCATAACCGATCACAATGTTTCCTATCCGAAGAGCCTGAGCAAGGAGGCCAAAGAGGCCTGCAAGGGCGTAAGTTTCTATCTATGTTCATATGTGATCTATAAATAATTTAAAAATATTTTTTAGTTCCTAACCAAGCAGCCAAATAAGCGTTTGGGCTGTGGTGCCTCTGGCGAGGAGGATGTGCGTCTGCATCCCTTCTTTAGACGCATTGATTGGGAGAAAATAGAAAATCGCGAGGTGCAGCCACCATTCAAGCCGAAGATTGTAAGCAGAAATAAATAAATAAAATAAATATTTTGAGCAATTTGAAAAACCATTAATTACATTGCAGAAACACCGCAAGGATGTGTCCAACTTTGACAAGCAGTTCACATCAGAGAAAACAGACTTGACACCCACGGACAAGGTGTTCATGATGAACCTGGATCAGTCGGAATTCGTTGGCTTCTCCTACATGAATCCCGAATATATTTTGAGCCCATAGATCCGATCTGATCATATCTAATTTCCAAGCTGCGAGTTGTGTCCCTTAAGTCTATTTTGATATTGATTACTGAAAAGACATTTTGTTAATCTTTGTTAAGTTTATCATTTTCTGTTTTCGACAATTATGTGTATCTATATTTATTGAATTGTTAAGTTTTGAGTTATTTATAAGTGCTAGCAACTGTGAAACAGAGCTTAAGGTGTGGAATATTCGAATACTGTTCAAGAGCACGTCCTCACTGGAAGCCAAAAAAGAAAGCAATAAAAATCAAATCATTTCAAATTCCTGATAGCCTATCACTCTGCGTAGAACTTTGATCAATTCTGTCCGATTTCCAATAAATATTTCCAAAAACATGTATTTCAGCAAGCTTTAGACATTTGCATTTTCCATTTGGAAATTAACTTTTTAGCCAACATCTGAGTGTATTTGTAGCCAATTAATCGATTTAAATAGTTAAAACAATACTTTCCTCGGTAGAGCAGGGATGTGAGGAACTTAGAAGTTTTGGGCCAGGTTCAAACGTCATTCGATTGTAGTGCTAGCCCCGGCATTATAATCAAATCGAAAACGCGTTTAGGTGAGTTCGCCAAAGAGGGAGAAAAAATCTAGGAGAACACTCAAGTTCCCACAATATTCAATACTTAAGCAGAAATATCATAGAACAAGAGTTTTTTAAATTTCATTAATATATATATATATATCAGTGTGCGTGTAAATTAATTTTACGTTTTATTTAAAAACCATTGCAAACAAACGTATATATAGCACGTCTATATATATGGCTGGCATAGAGTCTCAATGTACCATAATTAACAAATTGCATAGCAATAAGTTAAGCTTAGACGATACTAAACACTAAAGCTGTAAAACTAATACTGTAAAACTGTAAAACTGTGAAACTAAAACCTTTTGCTCCTAACCAAAGGAATAACTATGTTAGATTGTTCTTCAGTTGGAAACTTTAGTACCTTCACAGGAATCTAGCTGCTAACAACTAACCATGTTTAACCATGGGAAAGACAATCTACTATAAGCGTGTAAAACTATAGTCGTCGTATATAGCCTAGACCGATTTCCAAATTAGCGCCAGCCGAGCTAAGCTTTTGTGCCTCTCGTAGCTATCTTTCTCTCATAGAAGAAACCCCAAAACAATTAATGCCAAAGGAGGCTATTCGTATTAATAGGGAAATTACATAGTTATATGCGTCTGTCGAAAGGGGAATTTGTAGCCAAGCTAATTGCGTGGGGCACAGCAGAGTAATTACCATAGTAATTTAACATGAATTGGTAAAGCTTAAAAGTAGTTTGAACTAGTAAATTCGATTTAAACTAGTAAATTCGATACATACTAAAATTAAATACTTATAAACTTAAATATATATATAACAAATTGTGTAACTCCGAACTTGAAGCATTTAAAACGTTTAATTTAACTTCCCAATTTGAAATCAAAACGTAATCTAAGCCAAACAAGTAGATCAAATAACTCGATCCCGATGGATGATGAGTATGAGTACGATTCACAACCATGATGAGTAGCACTTAACGTTCAACCCGAGGGAAAAATAAATTTGCTCGTATTTTTTAAAATTAACGTAATGCATAATTAAACATATATGTATCTATAGATGTATATGTGTCTCTGAATTACTTTAATGACTTTTATTGCAAATAAATGGAGGAAGCGGTAAAACTTTTCAAGTCTGTTCAAAATATTGAAAATATTACAATTTGATGAAAATTAATTTTTATTATCGAACTATATACATATTGAAAATGCATATTGGTAGGACTTTAACTTTAACTGCATACAGTTTTATTTAGAGTCGACATTTTTACAAAACATATTTATGTAATTTTAATGATTTTCAAGGTCATTTTTTAAACCAAAGTCTCATACGTATGTACTTTAATTGCATATTAAATTAGTACAAAACAAATAGATACATTAATATATTTATATCTATGAAATATCGATGTGAATTACTTAACAGATATAATACCATACGATATCAGGCGAGAGAAAGCTAAAACTTCCAAACAAAACTCTCGACAGAAACCCAAATTAAACTAAAGAAAACTATTTTTACGTCTAAATAATTCACCCACACCCTTTGAAGAGTCGAAGCTATACTATATGCCTGTGCATATATGCATTAGCACAATACATTTACGAGTACACACACAACACACAGTCCCAGAACCCAACTGAATGTAATCTATAATTTATTGAGCCAAGCCAAACAAAGAGACAAACTCAAATAAATCAAACAAACGGCTTTGGGCACATCACACACACAATACGAGTACCCAAAAGTAAATAAAAATACTACTAAATATACATTTTTGTCTCTGAAATGAAGAATTCTTTGTCTATGGAATGCTGGGTACCATAGTTGACATGATGATTTGAGTATGAGTTGGTTTACTGGGAATCTTACTTAAAATTTAATTGGGAAGACTTCAAAGTAAAAAAATTTAATTAAGAAATGTCCTCTTTGAACTTCTTATAACTTTAGCTATCGATCACCATCATATCTTTGTAGATTTTAAGAACACATTTTATACCACTCTAAGAAATTAGAGTTTTGACAAAATTTTTGGGCGGATTAAAAAAAAACTATTGGCTTCTTTGGTTCTCAGTAGTTTAAAACAGATAGGTTTTTGTTTATGGGTCGCATAATATTTTATATATCCTGCAAAGGCACTTAAATACGGTATAACTCGCCTAAAACAAGACCCATTGGAATATAAAAGGCAGTCGCGGACTGCTAACGACCTAGACTTATTTAACTAATGAAAATGACTTGAAAAATAGTGTTGAAAGTATTGTGGAAGCAAACATTTATAAATATTTGTCTATAGACCCACAAAGGTATCCAGAATTCGATATTTATCCAAGCCTGTTGATCATAAATCGCCATCACCCGGCTAGGTATGCAACAAAAAAAATAATGCTAGGATGTCGGGCCATATACACTATACATAAAGGGGTTCCGATAGAGGAGAGGGCGATCGGCTGAGTTAGAGGCCGATGTTGAGGTGGGTTTGCGTGGCGGCCTTATCATTGATTGCGTACAAATTAACATTTATGCGTCCGTTAGCGTTAGATAATCTTATCGTGAATTTGCAACAATTAGATAGACGTGTCCAGCAGTCGTCGCCAAATCCTGCTCTTCACTCAGTCAGTCAGCGAGCAACATGGCCAGTCATCAATTCGTTCCATCTGTCATGTACGCTGTGAATTTCACCAGGCCAGACTCCGGCTGGCCATTGGGCCAGGACCAGGAGGAGCACGAGTACTTGGAGCACAGCGACGAGTGCATCTTCCAGCGAAGTCAGCCCTCGGTGGCGCTCTTTGTGCTCTACGGACTGGCCGTTCCCACGCTGTCCGCATTTGGTCTTTGCACGAACTTCATCAATGCCATGGTCTTCATGAGGCCCAAGATGACGCCGTCGGCTTTCAGCTATTTGGCGGCTCTCTCCTGGATGGACTGCATCTCCTGCCTGCTCATCACGATGACCGCCCTGTCCAGGAGTTACTTCTACAACAGTCCCGCCTGGATCGCTTACGATTACCAGTGGCAAACGCCATTCTTCGGCATCAGTACTGGAGCAGCTAACCTAATCCTGGCCTGCCTCAGCCTGGATCGATTCACCTACCTGTCGAGCTTCAAAAAGAACAACGGTGCTCCTCGATTTTGTCGCCGCAGGGTGGCCCGCTGTATGATCCTTGTGGCCATTGGCACATCCATAGTGGTCAATATGCCCTACTTCTTTGTCTTCTATGTGACCGACTCGGGAACCTGCCATGTCACCGACTTCTACTACTCCAAGTGAGTGTCAAATGGAATTGGTTTAATGGGGAAACCTTCTCTAGCGTTTTCATCAACCCACAGGTTTTACAAGGTGCAAAACTGGTTTACCTTTGCATTGCTAGCCCTTTTGCCAGCCATTTTTCTGTTCATCGGCAACACGGCCATTATAATTGCCTTCCGAAAATGGACGAAACAGAGCAGACTGTGTCAGTCCAGTGGAACGGCTGCCAATAGCCGCACCACAGCCAAGAGATATCAGGTATTTTTATTCAATTTAATGGGTGCAGAAAGAAAAACATATAGTTTTTATAAACATGACTGAAATAATAGAGGTACACAAAAAAAAACTATGATGTTAAATGTATTCAAAACAACAATTCCGAAAAAAAATTAGATTGGTCAGGCAGCAATCTATTTATTTTTTTTCCAATTGAGCCCATTTCAATTCGGAAAAATATCAACAAATCAGTTTAAGATAGCAACAAAACAATGGTTTCATCAGTGCGGTTAGATGTATATTATAGGTGAAACTAATCAACAACACAAAAAACAGTAAATTTTTTTATTGACTAAAACATATAGCGAAGTTAAAAATATTAACAAACTAGTTAGTTACAAATTCCATAACCTTACCGGCTTTGGGTGTGCGTTATTAGATTTTAGCGGACAGTTTATTATACATAGATGGATCTATCAACAACAGAAATCTGCTCTTTCATGTTAACTTTCAACAAAGTAAAGCATATTTTATAATATATTATATATACATCTATTTTGACTAAAACATATAGCAGAATTTAGCAAACAATATAACTTTTTTATTCCAGCACCAAATGAAGCTGACCATCAGCATTGTTATTGTGATAACACTGTACTTAATTGGCGAACTTCCCGCCCACATGACTTCAAGGAAGAGCTCCTTAAATCTGTTATTCGGCGGCGATGCCAACAAGGTGAATGAGTCCTTCATGGAGCAGCTGGAGGTGATATGCATTACGCTAAATGCCCTGCAATTGTCCCTAAATATAGTGGTTTATGCGGTGATCAATCCTTCATTTATGCCGGAGTTTTTCCTGTGCCTCAAGGGAACCTCTGACGTGTGCTTTGGATTGTGTTGTTTTCGGGCGCTGCGGAGGCTTTGGAGGCGATGCCAGGCAAGAAGACAACAGGAAGTGGCGGCGGAGGAGCGAGTGGTCAGCAGTGTGAGTCCCCAGCATCTGCCGGTGGATGAAGCTCTGCCCTGCGGTTGCGAGAGTTGGGCCAGTGACTCCGGCTGCAAGATCAATGCCCATTGCAAAACGGCGGTGGGCACATTTACCCTAAAGGATGGCGAGCACGACGAGGAGGTGCATTGCCGTCACGAGCCGGAGGTCTTCACCACCAGATCGAGCGCCTGCCTCCACACCAAAGACTCCGCTCCCGACGAGGAATCCATATTCAGCTCTAGCTTTATTATAATTACTTAAGTACTAAGTAACTATATTTCATAAACTAAACTAGATTTAAGCTATTAAATTATATGCGCATAGTGCTGTAGTGGTTTAAAAGACGGTTCCATATCTTGTTGGTGAATCCTCGAGCTGCCTTCTCATCGTCATTAAAGATCTTGTAGTATGGATGTCCGGGTGCTATCTTGTGTATCACTATGTGCACCATTCCCTTGCCCTGCTTCTCATCCGTATGCAGTTTACGCCGCATTATAATGGGCTTTTTGGTGACATTATCTAAAATATCTGTTGAGCTGTTCGTTGAATTGTGTTGAGCATAAACTTGGATTAAAAATAAAACCATTAAAAATAAGCAAACGAAATACTTGAGACACATATTAGGTCAGAAGTGAATCCAAAGAAGTCTCAATTCAAACTGAGAACCGCAGAGAAATTAAATTGAAGACCTTACAGTTGAGCAAATAGTTTGAAGTTTGATAAACGATAAACATACTTTTCGAAACCGGTTCCATTACATAAAAGACATGAAAGAAAAACGGGGATGCAACACTTTTATTGACATTTCAATCACTTGGTAAACAAGTATATGGCCACTATGAGACCATACAGACCCAAGACCTCGGCAAATATCAATATGAGAATGACGGCCACGAAGAGTCTGGGCTGGTTGGCAGATGCCCGAACCCCAGCCTCCCCAATAACGCCAATAGCAATGCCAGCCGCCAACCCAGAGACACCCACGGCCAGTCCAGCGCTAAGGTTGAGGAATCCCTTGTAGGAGCTGTAGTTTCTGTTAAGCGATCCAGCCAGCAGGACCGCAATCACCAATCCATAAATGGCTATAATGCCGGCCATGACAACCGGAACGATCGCCTTCATAATCAGCTGCGGATGCTTGATGGCCATGGCAGATATTCCAACGGAGGCCTTGGCGGTTCCATAAGCAGCTCCCAATGTGGAGAACACAATTGCCGATACGGCGCCCATCACGCAAAAGAAGGCGGCATAAGGCGGTTGATCCAACGTGGCCTCAACGGTTATCATATTTAATTCCAATGATTTCCTTTGCAAAACAGAATGTTCACAGATCTAGTATTGGCGTAAAGCAGCTTTGAAGTTTTTGAGCAAGGCTGTTTGGTTTTAGAACTATCCCAAAATGTAATGTAACAATAGTTTCCCAGTTTTCTTTTCAAACATTTAATTTTCTCATATGTACAGGTTCTAAACTAGGTGGAAAACACTTGATCTTGTTAACCAAAAAAAAAAGTGTATATCGAGATGACCAACAAGAGGCCTGTTTTTAAATTATAAACTTCTTAAGTAATTCTTAGGGCTTTAAACTTCGCTTATTAATAGTCAATTTGAGCTTAAAGTACATTTTAAAATTCTATAAAGTTTAATACAGAAAAACAGACATTAATAAGATGGTTTGATATTCCATTTTGTTCGTAAACCATGCGCACTATGTCTTTGCATATATACAGATTGTTTAACATTAGTAACCTATTTCAGCTTGAGGTATAATACAGTGGAAATCATTTCTTAGCAAACTTACTTGCCCTGCAATTTAGATAGAAAATCCATGAGGAACTGATGCCTTCCACGTAGTTCGCCGATGCTGCGATGCTTGAGCTTGGCGCATATACGACGGATAAGCTGCTCTCTGTCGCGAGCCCCCATTTTCATTTCGATGAGGATGACTTTGTCCTCTTCTCGCGTCCAGGGAGCCGAGTGGGAGCTACTGGATTCAGATTGCGACGTGCTGGCAGTTGATCCAGAAGCTGTGGCTGCTGCATCTTCGGTGGGAGAACAGTTGGCCAGCGTGGCCACTACATCCAGCTTGCAGTCCTCGTCGCTGTCGAATTGTGTGGTGATAATATGCTGCGGCGTATTTCCCGCACTCACTTGCAGCGGCTCCAGCTCCTCCTCCGATTGATCCAGATCCATTTTAAGAGGCATAAAAGCTGGAGGGTTCTCGGCTGTCTCCTCCAGGCTGTCCACCTCAATTTTTGCAACTACTGGTACTGAACTACAGCTAATGGTTGGCGTTGATGCCTGCTGCTTGGCCTGGGCAATAATCCGTATACCCGCCTTTGTATCAGCCGCATCTCGGACACTTTCCTGATCGATCAACGTGCGCAAACGCTTGGCACACTCAATGGCAGGCGAGGACGAAGGCTGTGACTCATGGATCACGACCATGGGTTGGTTATTGGTGCGCTGCCTACCCTGAGTTGGATTAAGAGGCGATCGCACCTTCTTGGTGGGTGACTTCCGTTTGTCTACATGGGGAGAACTATTGATTGTTCCCGACAACGGACTTAATCCCGAGTTGTTAAATGCCGATTGCCTGCGTGGTGATATTTCACCAAAATTGATGGCAGTTTTCTTGGCGTGCGGGTGATGGTGTCCATGAGAATTGCCCACATTGGGCGTACTGGTTGCGGCATTACTAAAGCTGGAGTTGGTATACAAACTGGCGTTCAATCGGATTGCATGCGCTCTCAAGCCCGCCTCATCGCACATCTCGATGGATGAGCAGCTGTTCTGCTCATCGCCCGTGGTGTCAATAACCAACGCACGACTGGCATCATCCTCCTCACTCCGATCGGCAGCATCATCGCTATCTGTATTGGCAGCCATACTTAGGAGCTTCTCTCCCTGAGCACGAATCCCATGGGCACAGGTCAGGGATTCATCGGAAGTCATTGGCATTTCATGCGTTTGTTCATTGTAAATACTAGCAGCCATAAACGAAAGCTTGGCCGGCAGCAGGATCTTGGCTCCATAGAAAATTCGGCCATTAATGTACTTTAGGTGACAACCAGGTTTACTTGTCGTAGGCACATCCAAAAACTCCTGAATTGTTTCAGTATATTCTCCCGAAGTGTTGTTCTGAACATCATGCAGATTTATAGTCTCCACGGGAGACAGGATTCTAAAAAGTGTAACAATTCTTAGTTGGACAGTCAGGGGCTATTTTATCTTATCTTTTTTCTTACCTTTTCGGGGGCTTTCCTTGAGGAAATTGCTGCACAAACCAATCGGCCAGAAACTGATTGCCCTTGAGCAAGGGCATTATCTTATTCTCGACCTTTTTCATGCTCACGTTAGGCAATTCAGCCAATTCGCTAAGGCAGGCATAAATCTTTCTAATCTGTGCGGGCTGCTTGTTAAAGTAAATGTTCAGTTTGTTGATAAAGTTGGTGGCATTGGTTATCATAAAGTGCTCAAAGAATTTGCCTATCTCAGCGGCCTCAGCAGGTAGCAAAAAGTTAAGGAACACCTCTGCCAGTTCTGGGTGATCGGGAAGCAAGATTTTTTCCACTTTCTGTGGATTAAGCCAAATGATTTAGGGCAGATCAAGGGAAATTAGTCAAGTAATCCTTACCAGATATAGAGATGAAACCTTCTCCTGCCTGGGATCATAATTCTGCAACAGGCTATTGAATTTTCTGCAATCATCCAGGCGATCGGCATTCAGCAGGGCCTCTTCCACTTTGTCGTAAAAGTTAAGCGCAAAAACTGTGCATTGAAAGCGGGAGTTAGAGCGAGATTAAATGGTAAAACGATTAGAACTCACTGGCATCTTTGCGATTGCGCTCCTCTGGGGAATCCGGCTGGAGCATGTGTCGGAGCATCTCCTCCTGTCGATTTGCCCTCTTGAGCTTGGCCGCCTCGTCATCGCTCCTGGATCTCTTCGGCTGCGTTGCCGTTGCACTTTTAGTCGTGGCGGTGGTGGTGCTGCAGAACATCTTCAGATCGTCCAGCAGTTGGGTGTACAGTTCGAGGGCCACAAAACGAATGTGCACGAGCTGTACCAACTCGCAGGCTATATATTTGTCCCTGCGTCCACGCAGGTAGGATCCGTAGGTAGTGATTAGCGAATGGCAGCGCTTGCTGAGTTTATGGCGCAAACGTTCGCGCAATTTGTGGTAGCGACTGCGGCCTGGCGTTGATCCCCTTCGCGACGATTTATTGGTTGGCTTGAATATTTGATAGCGCGCCCTTTTGGCGTTTCTGCCTGCAAAGGAAGAGGCACTGCTATCCGGCGCAGGCAACAGATCCGGCTGTACTGCCTCGCGGGAGTCCTCTAGTTCGCAGATTTGCAGGGTGTGCGTGGATTCGTCTACTCTGAAGTTGATGGCTGGCGGGGCATCTTCGGCCAGGGGCGGAGGAGCGGGTGGCAGGGCCAGGAGACCACTGCACTCGGCGCTGGTGTACAGGCTGCGGTTGATATTCAGCACATTGTCCGCCAGACTTCCGCCGGACACAAGGGGCACCGATACGCCCGAGACTCCTCCGGGTGGTAAGTAGTTTCCCGCGTTCGCATCGCCACCAAACACATAGTTCACATTGATGGTGAGCAGGGAGTGATTCTCCGCAGGGCGGGGCTTCCTCTGCGCTGGCTTTTTCCTCGCTTTGCAATCCTTGGGAGGCTCCGAGCCAGCGGCACTGCCATTGGGCACCGCCGCCTGGCCAAAACTCTCCGGCAGCACCAAATCCTCGCCGACAGCCTCGCGCACAAACTCCAGATACGAGGCACTGGCTTCCGATGACGCTTTCGAGGGCTTGAAATGGCGGCGGGTGCGCTTTTGGTCCCAGGTTTTCTGCAAAATAAGCGAGAATTGAAAATTTTCCGCAATTTATAAACACAAAGCGATGGCACAAGCACTGAACGGTACTATCGATAGATTGTGTAGGTGGTACCTAGCCATCGATAGAAAGTAATCGAATATGTTAAATATTATAAACTAACATAAGTAACTCATAAATACATTAGTCATTTTTAGACAATAACAAAATTAATAAATGAAATCATAGCATCGCAATTGAAACATGTAGTAATTCAGTCTATAAACTATTCAAAACAACCAAGTACCTAATCTAGGTACAGCAATCTCAACAAGCCCCACCTCTAATGATAACTTAACGCATGCCTATCGTATTTTTGACTGCACTAAAAGTAAGAGCGACAACATATTTTTTTGTTTTTTAAATAAAATAGCATATGAAATAGTCAAAAAGTAACTAATTTACATAGTTACAAAATATTCCCAACAGGACTCAAGGATTCTGCTTGTTAAAAAGAGCGGAAGCTTGTGACATACCGGAGAAAACTAAAACTGACCACGTCTGCACATTCCAACATGAGCAAAGTAACCTTCAAAATCACACTAACTTCGGACCCCAAGCTGCCGTTCAAGGTGCTCAGTGTTCCGGAGGGAACTCCCTTCACGGCCGTACTGAAATTCGCCTCCGAGGAGTTTAAAGTTCCGGCCGAGACGAGTGCCATCATCACGGACGATGGCATTGGCATCAGTCCACAGCAGACCGCTGGAAATGTGTTCCTGAAGCACGGATCGGAACTGCGCCTGATACCCAGAGATCGTGTGGGCCACCAACTAAGCTAGTTTTTCTACTGCGTATTTTCCCCTTGAGATTCCCCCCTTTTGAATGCTTATTAAAATGTTAAACAATGTAATCGGTATTAACCCATTGTGTTCCTTACCTCGATGTAGTATTGCCAGCCACTGGGCAGCTCCTGGTGACGTTCTCGCGGAGTTCTGACCAGTCCACCTTCGAATCCCCACAGAATGTGGTTCGTGGGCGGTGCTCGCTGGCGGTCAAGGAAGTATTTCACCGGATTATACTGTTTCGAGTTGCGCAGCTCAGTGATCTTCATGAAAATCCGACGGGCGGTCTTGCCATGAATCGTATCCTTGGCCATTCGCCGGCACGCAACTCGAATGGGATCAGCACCCTTGCGAAGTGATCTCTTCGCTTTCCCAATGACCTCCATGTGCTTCTCCAGACCAATGGCAATAAGCTGATACTCGGATGGCGCATAGGCAGTGACTTGAGTCAGTTTCGGTTGAAAGGCCATGCGGGGCAGGTACTGAGGATACATAAACACCTGGCTATCCAGCATGAGATCCATGATGCGGGGTGCCAATCTTGGAACCTGTCGCGTGTGGCCATCCCTGAAGGAAGAAGAGATTAGTTATAAGATTGCACTAAGTTATTTATAACTCACGTCAATTCGGTTTCCTTGTTGATGAACTCCATCATCTTTTCGTTCTCCTCCTTAAACTCATCACTGCACAGATCGTGCTCCCACTTCCTAACCAGTTGGATAGCCTCATTTAGGTTCCAGCAATTGAAGCTGGCATCTTTGATTGCCTTTTTGTGCAGTTCCTCCAGCATTTCCCTGGGCTTCTGGGCCATGGGATACAACGTTGGGTGGGAGTAGGTTTGCAGATAACTCTGGCTTAGCATTTGGGTGTGAATGCGAAGCTGTTGCTGAAGCATATCATGCTGGGACTTTGTAAATCCCCTGCTCCTTGCAAGGTGATTGATGTTAGCTGGCTGCACGTTACGCAGGTTTTCAAACTGATCCTCATACTCCGAGTAAATGTGTTTCTTTACCGAGATGTATTCCCAGGTGAAGTTGGTGTCAAATGGTTTTTTGTAGCGGTCTTCATTGCTATTCGTTACAATGGGTGGATGCACAGCCTCTAGGATAGAGTAATTGTGGAGCGTTTCTTCGGTCAATGGAGGATTTATATAGGAGGAGTCATTAGCCACAACTTTTGCCAGTTGGAAGCAATTTGGTTGTCCAGGTATTGGAACAGCTATAAGTTCGGGAGGTTCACTCAAAGCATCCGTTGGTATATTCACCACCTTGCAGGGCGACCCTCCGGGTCCACTTTCCAGATTTCCCTCCTGCATCACAGCCACGGGAACGGGCATCACCATGCTCATATGGTTTCCATCACATGGAGGGGGTATCACACTTGGTTGGAAGACCTGTAGCTCCTGCTGATGATCATTGACCATTACCTGACCTTCAAAATCGATATTTCGGGTAACCTGATCAATGGGAGCCATAGACACATTGGCACTTTCCATGAATTTTTGAGGGGTTTCCAATTCAATTGATTCCAGAGACACACCCTCTTGCAGCAAGCCCGCAAACAGTTCAGAGACCAGGTCAGTCAACTCCTTTTTGGATATGTTTACATCGCGTAGCTCCTCGGCATTCTCGTACTCCGATTCCAAATGATCAGCGGCATCATACTCCGGATCATTGATGGGATCATCGTCGTCGCCCAGAACAGTGTTGCCTGAAAGATACAGCAGTTGAGGATAGCAGTCATAAAACTTCTAAAGAAGCTTCTTACTAAGCGGCTTTGTAAAGTCATTGAGAAACTGCATCCAGTCCGCATCGGTGGCGGTCATATCGTTCTCCACCACATCGCTGGGCTCTACGTCAGGCGGCACAAATTCCGACTGCAAATCCTCGATGGTTGTCTGCTGCAGACAGAATTTGGAGCGCGTTCTGGTGGATATACGCAGGTCGTCTTTGTCGAGCAGACCCTTTTCGAATGGCACCTTGAAGCAACCGTCATCGGAGAATTTGACAGGAGATTCCTCGTTGGCAGTGAGCGGAGTTTGCGGTGTGCAGGGATTGGAATCGAAATCCGATGCTGTAGTATTGGGATCATCATCCGACTGTGGGTTAAACGTGTGGTTAAGCATCGGCCAGGAAAATTCTGTGTCATACCTACATGAAAGTCTTCCTCCTTGAATGTGTACTCCTCGTCCTCTTCATCCGAGTGCAAATCTTCGCGTATCAAAGCCTCTATGCCATCATTGTCGACCGGAGTTTCGTTGAGCTGGGGCAGGGAAATGCCGGGAGTGCAGTTCAGCTCTCGAGCCTTGGCTCTCGTGAGTTTCGGTACGGACGGAGTGTCCGTAATGATGATGGCGCCCCGTTTCTGTTGCTCCGCCGACTCCAGCTTCTCCCGCGCCAATTCGTCTTCCGCTTTCAGGGTGACCAGTGCCAGGACATGATCGTTGCGCACCACCTTACGCACCACCTTTTGCATGTCCTCCGTGCTTATGGAGTTATCCTTGGCCACTTTCCGCAGCCGGCGATCGATCTCCTTGACATCCTCGTCCACCTGCGAGTCCAGACTATGGCGTTCTCCGCGACGCCGCTTTCGCGGTCTTCGTGGAGTCGAGCTATTGCTCCGCGAGGAGTCCGACTTTTTGGCACTGTTTGGCATTCCTGGGCTTCATTTATTAATAAAATTCCAACGCAAACTTTGCCGAGCCGCAAAACAAAAAGGCCAACAATTGTTTACACGAAATGCCGCCACTAGAATGTCTTAGAGCTGGAACTCTTGTCGGTGTTGCATCAATTGTATTGATGACTTCTCAAAATTTTAAATATGTACATTTAATTTAAATTGAAAATATGAATTAATTTAAAATAAAATCATAGCATTTTGATAGCAATTTGTACTAACTTTAAATTACAAATAATATTGTTTATAAACATTTGTTATTATAACGGGGTATGCTTATCGATGCTATATCGATTGTTCACCCATCTCTAGATTATATAGTCTGGTCACACCATGCTCTGTTTTTCCGGGCTCTTGCCCAAAAATATTACAAAATAGAAACTGCATCTTGAAACAAATGTCACCGAACGTGGAACTGTCTTGAGAAGCCCCCGTGAAGTTGAAGCCTCTTTCTCCCGCCGCAGGAGTGTCCCCACCAAGAGATCCCCCTTCGTTATCGTAGTGGTGAGGTAAGCCCGCAATTTAATATGAATCACATGCAAGCCGAATGATACGTGACACCACCCTACGCCCTAGAAACCAAAAGATGACACAGAAGGTAACCAAGCTGGCGCTGGCCAGTCGCCTCATCGTGCTCCTGGTCCAACTGGTGGCCAATGGAGCCCTGCCGGAGCACAGCCCTGATGTATTCCGCGCGCCAATCTCAGATGACCAGAAGGGCTGCTGCGAGTGGATAGACAAGCTGGTGAAGCGCTGCTTGGGCGGATTGAGGCACTGGGATGGCGAGTACTTCCTGCACATAGCCGGGAATATGTACTCCTACGAGAACACATTGGCCTTCTACCCCCTGTATCCGGTTGTGGTGCGTCACGTGGCACAGGCACTGGAGTTTGTCGGCCTGCGCTTGTCCCAGGAATCCGTTCTTCTGCTGGTGGCCGTCGCCCTGAACCTCTGGCTGTTCTGCGAGACGGCTAACCTGCTGTACCAGCTCACCCACCGCATGTTCAACGACCTCAACAAGAGCTGGAATGCGGCTCTGATCTTCTGCTTTAATCCGGCGACCATTTTCTTCACGGCTGCCTACTCGGAGTCCTTCTTCGCCTACGCCAGCTTCCACTTGATGCTGGAGTGCCTGAAGCCAACAGATAATTTCCGGTTTCTGCGTCTGGGAGCCGCTTTAACCGCCTGCGTACTGTGCCGTTCAAATGGATTGATCACCATGGGATTTCCGCTGTACTTCTTCGTGCGCCATGTGCTGGTCAAGGGCAAGGAACCCAACTCTTGCTGGCAGCTGGGACAGATGGCCCTAAGCCTTCTAGCAGCCGTAGGCATTCTGCACACCTACTATTTCTACATCTACAGGCTGTACTGCCTGCCCTCGACGTCGGAGGACCACCCCCAACACATTGTTGAGTACGCGGATAAGCGAAAGTACCTAATGTCTGGTCAGGGATCCGAAGGTTCTCCCTGGTGCCAGTACACGCTGCCCTTCCCGTATACCTACGTGCAATCGCACTACTGGGATGTGGGTTTTCTGCGCTACTACAAGTGGAAGCAACTGCCCAACTTTCTGCTGGCTCTACCCATGCTGAGCTTCATGCACTGGCATTGCTACGATTACCTGCGGGACTTCATCAAGGTGTTTAGAGCGAAGGTCGCCACGCCCACTGGGTACAGGGAACTGGTCAAGGAGCATATCGCATTCCCCTTCGTGCTGCACGCTGCCTTCCTCACCCTCGTCTGCACCGTTTACGTGCACATCCAGGTGTCCACACGGCTCCTGGCCTCGGCCACTCCTGTGTTCTACTGGTTTGCCGCCGATCACATGCCCAAGACGCTGGCCCAGCTCAGGCTGCGCTCCAAGGCGGGAGCTCTCTTCGTATGGTGCACCACCTACAGTTTGGTGGGAACAGTGCTGTTCAGCAACAACTATCCCTGGACGTGACTTAAGTAATGGAAGAGGAGCTGGAAGAGTAGCTGGTTGCCAAAGAGACTGTTCATCCGCAGGGATTGCTTTTTAGTGTGTAAATAATCGTCCAAGTTTTCTAAATTTATTTGAGACGCTCAATAGTATTGGCTTTTTAAGTAAGTTTCCCATCGTCTTAACTTTACACTAACTTAGAAATGGCACAACAAAAATTATTGACAATTTTGGTTAATATGAATAAAGATTTAAAATTGCTAGTGTTTTCGACAAAGCTTTATTTAATTTAAACTAAACATTAAATTGAACATATAAAATATGCAAACTTTTGCTTTTTATCCTATAAAAATGTTTTCCTGCTTCATTTTTTTTTTTAAATTTTAACCAATATTTATGTTTTAAATAATTAATATTGGTATGAAAAAGATAACGGTAAATTTTGAAAATTTTAACTTAATTGTAGGTTATTTTTAAAGGCTTAGTTGGTCACACTGGCAATCAGCTGTTTTGGGTGGCATATCACAACAACAAAGAAAACTTTACAGAAAATTGTTTATTATTCTGAAATCCTCGAGGAAAACCTTCATTTCCATGGAGGGCCACCTGCGCCTGCACAAGGTCGGCGACTACGCCGCCCCCAGCCTCCAGGAGAAGTCCAGCAAGGGGAGTGGCAACATGGAGCAGCTCTCCGGCGTGATGATAATTATCATCATCAGTGGCGGCGTACTCACCTGCCTGATGTTGTTCATCTTCGCCAAGCGCCAGATAATGCGCTTCCAGCTACGAGGACGTCGTGGTCCCCACGTTCCGGTGGGCAACGATGCCAAGAAGGCGCTGAGGCGCGAGATTGAGCGGCGGCTGGACTGCATCCAAAAGATCACCCAGGAACCAAAGCTACTTTGGACCGATAGTGACAAGTACATTGTTCAGCCGGAACCGGAGGCTCCTCCGCCGCCGTACTACTACCGCATGAAGGCGGTGGACAACGTGAAGCTGCTGGAGTCGGAGATTGCCCGGGCGGATGGCAGTTCACGGCATGCCCCCGAAAGCCTCCGAGCCTTTCTGCTGACCACCCTATCAGTCACATTGAACGGAGCCGGACAGCGGATGATTCACCAGTACTGCGACATGTACGAGCACGCCCGCCACGATCCCAATGAGTTTGGAAAGGATGAGTACGAGGCGTATCACCATTTGCTGTTGAAGCTCTTAGAGGCGTAGGATTACTCATCTTAAGACAAGTTTATTAGAGACATACTCAACTCCTTTGCCGTTTCAGCTCCAAGCAGTTAAAGAACTACAATTCTCGGAAGGCATCGCCCGCTCGAACCCCTCGTAAGCAGACCAAGATGCACTCCCTGCTGGATCCTGCTCGGCTGCGACCGCCCACCACCTTGGAAAATGTGCAGCCCAGCAGTGAACTCACAACTGGACAGCATGCCAAGGTCAATTTGACGCTGGGTCTGCAGGGCGGCGATGGCGAGGCCGAACTGGCCACCAACCCTCTCCACCTGCAGGCGCCCTCTGATAGGGATCTTATTATACGCAATAGAATTAAAACGCCCACTCTGGATGACATTATTGTGGAGGCTGACCACCACCAGAACAGCGAGGCGGCACCCATGGAGGACAACGAGATTAAGAGCATATCGTCTATGCAATTTCAGCGGAGCTCTAGCAATGTCTGAACATGCTTTTAAAGAATACACCCCGAAGTGGGCTTACCATTAGTTACCATTTGTGTAGATTACTTTCTTCAATACAAAATAAATATAACGCTTTAAACATATTTTGAAAGGATTTTCTAAGCAGTTAAGAAAGCAATCTATACGAATAAGTCCAATATTTTCAACGTTTTCCTAAAAGCGAACAAGCTTATTTAGCCAATTCTGTTGCAAGCGAAGATATGTGTACTTTCGCAATTTATAAATGTTAATTTTAAAAGTTTCCTATAATAAGGTTTGATTGCAAAATTAAAACACGATAAGTAAAGTTTATTCACTTGTCTAATTTGGCAATTTATAAATTTAAATCTTTTTTAAGGAACTTATTAAGATCGTCCCCTTGTAGGGGTCGTTCTATAAAATGAATAAAAATAATTAACTTGAAATGATTAAAATGGTCATCTAGCAGCTAAATAATAAAATTCACTTCGACTTAGCTTCTTTTAGAATGCCCATTTACATCGAATTTCGAATCGTTTTATAATGTGAAGTCCTTATAAGCAGCATTTTACTTTTTCTTGCAAGGATCGTCCTTTTTCTTACAGGGATCTTCTTTTTCCTTACAGGGATCTTCTTTTTTCTCACATGAGTTGGCCTTGTCCTTCTCGGCACACTGGTCGGCCAGTTGGGAGTAGAGGACGAGGTCCAGGAGTCGGCAGGAGTAGCCCGTTTCGTTGTCGTACCAACTGATCAGCTTCACAAAATTGTCGTTCAGGGCAATACAGGCCTTGGCATCGAAGACGGAGGCAAAGCGCGAGCCGTTGAAGTCGGTGGAGACCACCTCCTCCTCCACATAGCCCAGGATGCCCCTTAAATCGCCCTCGGCCGCGTCCTTTATGCACTTCTTGATGTCATCCATTTTGCCAGGCTTGGCGAGGCGGCATGTTAAGTCCACCACCGAGACATTAGGCACTGGGACGCGAAAAGCCATGCCCGTGAGCTTTCCATTCAGCTCTGGGATCACCTTGCCCACCGCCTTGGCTGCTCCCGTAGCGGCCGGTATGATGTTGCACATCCCACTGCGTCCATCGCGCCAGAGTTTGCTGCTGGGACCATCGATGATCTTCTGGGTGGCGGTGGCCGCATGTACGGTGGTCATCAGGCCCTCGCAAATCTCAAAGTTATCATGCACCACCTTGGCCAGTGGAGCCAGGCAGTTGGTGGTGCAGGAGGCATTCGAAATGATCTTCATGTCGGGCTTGTATTTATCTAGGTTCACTCCGCACACGAACATCGGAGCATCAGAGGATGGCGCCGATATGACCACCTTCTTGGCTCCACTATCCAGATGAGCTTGGCAAGCTTTTAAGGTGGTAAAGCGGCCGGAGCACTCCACCACAGTGTGCACGCCCAGATCGCACCACTTTACCTTCTTCAAATCCGCCTCCTTCAGCAGCTGGATCTTCTTGCCACAAACTATCAAAGTATTGCCCTCCAGCGAGATCTTGTGTTCGAAAAGCCCATGTGTGGAGTCGTGGCGCAGCATGTAGGCCAGGTACTTGGGATCCAGCGCGGGATCGTTGATGGCCAGGATCTGGACATCCTTGCGCACCAATGCCTGGCGAGCAAACATGCGTCCGATGCGCCCAAACCCATTGATTCCGATTGCAGACATTGTGTTTGCTTAAAACCCCTACCAGGAATTTGAAAGAATTTTGACAAACAAACCAACCTAGCTGGTTGTAAAAGTAGACTCCCAGGTGCCTTGGATCCTACCCGGAGTTTATGATTCCCCTGCTCAAAAGAAATACATACATAATTACGCAGCTGGGTATAAATCAATCGAACTCTCGACCACCTGCCAAAGCTTCTCACGAAACAAAATTACAATAACCTTCGGGAACGCCTTGTCCAAATTGTCTGGAGCCCCAAGAAAAGGGGAGTGGCTGCCAAATTGCTGGCCAACACACTCATTCACGGGAATAGAAAATCCGGCTTCAAGGGTCATTACTCACCTTTGTGCGGAATGCCTCACTCCTTCGGGAAACCCATCCTTTCATACACTTCAAAAAACTTTATTCAATTTTACATTTCAAGCAAACCTTTAAAATTATTAAAGTAAAATAGTTTGTGAGCTACCCGTATGGTATTCAAAAAGATAGACTTAAAAAATATAATGAAATCAAAAAAACCTTTAAAATAATATGTATGGCAGATCAAACGTAGTTAAAAATTGTGTTTGATTTTATTTATCACTTTAATATTAAAATTTAAAGCTTGACTCACAAAATGTTAATATGACTCTTTTTGTAAGCGATGGGTCTAATGTTTCCAGGAATGGTTGGAAAAAACCGAACATGACGTCTTCATAAAAACAGCAATTTAACAAGCACCCCTAAGCCGTTTTTCCTGTGTGTTGGTTCTTCTTTTTGAACATACCAGATGACGGTCATCAAGGCATAGAAATTTCCATGCCCGTTGGCCATCTGCCCCTTGGCCCATGACTTGGCTGGAAATATATTGAATTGAAGTTTTATTCGTTCGACTTTTGGGGGTGGAGTCCCAAGACCCCACTCCGCTATCGACCTTTTCTTGGGTGTGGGAATTGGTTCCTCAAACCGGCTATGACAACTTAACTTTGTTGAATATTTATGATGCTGAAGCAACAGCAGGATGGCCGGCAACATGTTGCCAGCAACATTTCGACGCCCCCGCAGAAAGTTGAAATTTCCAACTGAGAAAATGGACTCGCAAGGACTCTCTCTCTCCCGCTCTCTCTCTCTCACTCTCTCTCTCGCTATTTTCCGGGTCCTGTGGTGAGTTTTCCTATTGGGGCCGCCGCTGATTACGAAATTGTTGCAGTAATCGCAGCACCCGCAGTTGCAAGCCCTGCATAACGCGAACTTCAAACTGGAAACTCCGCCTCATTGTATCATTTATGTTTGAACTCGAAATTCGTAGGTGCCATAAAATGGTAAATGCAGCGCCCCATAAAAACCCATCAAATTTAAGTTTATTTAATGGACTATGGACTAGGGGATCTAAGCTGGGGTCCGGAACCCTTGTAACTTTGTTTGGGCGGCCAGCTTGTTTACTTTAGTGTCCCTGCTTGTCCGAGCGCTACTTGAAATTTATGCGAAAAACTTTCAAATTTGAAACTTGCCTGCTGCGTGGGCCATGGGAGCAACAGGAGCAGAACAAAATTTAGCATACAAATCCCATTGAAAGAGCAGCTTAAACCAAAGTTCGGCATAGTGTTGAAATATAGACTATATGCAATTTAATTTCACACAAAACAGCACAAAAATTTACCAAGGTAAGCTGCAGCTTATGTTTTTATGTTGACGTTTTATCAGGTTCAGTAGATCACAAAACTAAGTTCTGACTACCCGCCAGCAATGCTGGAACTCTATTCCATATGACTTGTATGACTTGGAACTTAATGTTTGCTGCAAAGATTCTTAATCTTAATCACTGTTTTTCAACACTCATCGAGCATTAAGAGAAATGTGGCCTGTTTTATATTTGTTACAGTTTAACACACAGAAAAAATATGTATTTTTTTTTTGCTCGTATTGGTTTTAGGGTTTAGATCGACCACATAAGAAAGTATAAAATGTTGAAGACTGCTTTAAAAAGGGAACAAAATTTAACAAGAAAAAAATGTACTCTCATAGTTTAATGTATTATACAATGGCCTCCAAAAATTGTATTCGAAGTCTAAAACATTTTATTTTTAGTTTAAGGCATTGCGCAATGTTCCTAAATCTCTCTTAACAAGAAAGAAAGCAAACTTCGGCAAGCCGAAGTTCATATACCCTTGCAGCTATTGCAAGAATTTAACATTTTTGAAAACATTAAAATTATGATTTACTGCGTATATGTTTAAAAACATTGAAGCTATGATGATTAGCAACTCAATTATTTGATAGTTATTTTATATATTTTTATTATTTCTATGGGAGCTATATGATATAGACGTCCGATTTTGATAAAATCTAAACCATAATTCTGAAATATTTAACCATTGCTATATGTCGAAGAACTGAACAAAAAATTAAAAAACAAAAAAGTTATAATTTTTTTCATTTATTTTTCCGATTGTTCCTATGGGAGCTATATGCTATAGTCGTCCGATTTTGATATAATTTAAACCGTAAATCGGAAATATTTTACCATTACTAAACGTCGAAGAACTAAACAAAAAATTAAAAAACAGCAAAGTTATAATTTTTTTTCATTTACTTTTCCGATTGTTCCTATGGGAGCTATATGCTATAGTCGTCCGATTATGATGAAATTTAAACCGTAAATCAGAAATATTTAACCATTACTAAACGTCGAAGAACTAAACAAAAAATTAAAAAACAGCAAAGTTATAATTTTTTTTCATTTATTTTTCTGATTGTTCCTATGGGAGCTATATGCTATAGTCGTCCGATCCGGCTCGTTCCGACTTATATACTACCTGCAATAGAAAGACAACTTTTGGGAAAGTTTCATGCAGATAGCTTTAAAACTGAGAGACTAGTTTGCATATAAACGGACGGACAGACGGACAGACGGACAGACTGACAGACGGACAGACGGACGGACAGACGGACAGACGGACGGACAGACGGACATGGCTAGATCGACTCTACTAGTGATGCTGATCAAGAATATATATACTTTATAGGGTCGGAGATGTCTCCTTCACTGCGTTGCAAACTTCTGACTGAAATTATAATACCCTCTGCAAGGGTATAAAAATTACTCATACGACCTGTTATGTCATTTCAAAGTAATGTTTTTGATTAGTATTAGTTATATACTTTGAATAGAAAGTTTTCTACAGAATGTCTTGTAAAGTACTACTTATCAGTTGACAGTAAACGTCTCCTTAAATAGTGGCTTGGTATTAAATATTGAATATTGTAATGTCCGACCTCCACTTCGATTACATTTCTTTTCGTGTACTTGCGCACATAAAGGACCAATGGCAAATGTCCCTCCAGGGCCTCTTTAACTTGTTGGCCGGGCCAAGAGGCCCCTCTAAAGTTGGTCTACAAACCGGATAAATGTATTTAAGACCGAGGCCGGCATTAAAGCAGACCAGAACCAGGCTTATTCCGACTGAACAGGA